ATTTTTGACAACATTTTTTATGACATTAAAAAACAGCTGTGCAATTTATTATATTCAGATATTAAACATGAGTTCGTGCCAACTGTGACAACAGATCAGCTGCAATTTTCATCAGTGTCGAGATTTCTTACTGTCCATTCAGGCAACTGTTCTGGATTTCAGTTCATTTTAGCTGCAATGACAAACAACTCTATGAAGGCAAACTGCAAACAAGCCACATAACGCTCACAGTAAATGGCGCAGGTGAAAAAATAAAAAATGAAAAAGTACAAATCAAAGTAAAATTAATTCACATGTTCCAAATATCCCTGTAGACTCTACAGTCATTGTTCTGTACAGTTTAAATCCAGTTCAGCAGATAGAAGTTTACATACATAATCGAGCAGGTGCAGAGAACATAATGTTTTTTTGGACATTTTCAAATGACACAAAAACGTTGCTGCTCATTATTTATGGGTACATTTACCTGACAGACATTTCCGTCATGAATTGTTAATATGAGCAAATGACAACAAAGTCATGCAGTCAGACAGATAAATAGTTTTACAAAACAACATCTGTAGAGTACCAGCGCCTTAAAACAAAGTGCAATATTTCTAAAAAAGATCTCTGAAAACGTGATTGAGCAGATTTTCTGATACGCGTTTTTGATTTTTATATTCTTTTCGTTGCGGCTGCGTCTAACTCTTTAACCACAGAGAGCAGATTTTCATGTTCATCCTTAAAATCTCAAGCAAACTTTATGCAGCTGTTAAGCCAGATAATTCAAGCAATAATCTTTGAACTGAATATATGTAAATGTCATGTCATTGCCGGTGCACAGATCAGTGTAAGTCGTGTGGATGACGGTTGGCGGGTGAGAGAGCCTGTAGGTAAATGAACACATCAGCGCTGCTACATTTTACATGCATTTGCAGCAGATTCCGTCAGGTTTTGTTGTCAAGGAACAAGCTGAGAGGCAGCGACATACCCGGCTGAATTTTGAGCAGCGATGTTAATATTCATCCTTTCCTCCCACCTCCTCCTCACCCTGGGGGGAGACATAATAAGCTTCACTTCAGTCTTTTATTCAGTCATTACAATCGACTGTTTCATTATGAACTCCATCTTTTTTCCGAGTGTCCTTGAGCAATAAACTGAATCTCTGAGCTGCTGCCGACCTCTGACCTCCCTGCTGAAATGTATATTTATGTAAGTTTTTCATCACTCTGTATGGAATAATTGAAAATCACCCTGAAACACCGAGTAAGGACGTTCTTCCCTCACAGTTCAGCTCATTTTGTGCTTTAAAGATTAAAAATTGCAAATTCTGTTGTTCTGTATTTTTTTCTTTCACCCTGATCAGATCTCCAATTCGTCTTCTCTGTACTCTGCTTTTGTCTTCTTCCAGGAGGACAAACTGGACGTGTCCACACCGAAGATGTATAGTTCTTTCATCCCCAACGGCCGGGCCGAGCCTCACCTCCACACCCCTGGACACCAGGGCCTGCCGCTGGGAGACCCCGACCTCAGCCTGTCCCAGGTAGGACGCAATCGGATTGAGCAGGAAACCCCTGAGTATTGGAGCAAGAGTTAAGCATTTTGGAAAAAACACTCAGCCTTTGTGTTTTAAGAACTGAGCTGGAGTTAGAACATGGTTAGCTTAGCTTAGCATAGAGACAGGAAACAAGAGAACCCGCTAGCCTAGCTTCACCAAGCAGCGAACGGGACTCTACAGCCATTCTAACAGCTGTGTGAGGCAACACTAACATTACAGACAATGCAGAAAGCTGAAATGTCCAACTTACCTGTAGAAAAAGTCAATGTCTGATGGAGAAACTTGGGATAGTTTGATTAACTTAGATGTTCTCGAGGAGCAGATGCTCGTCAGGCAATATAGTAGCATCTGCAAAGCATTACTAAACCCACATTATCTGAAATACATTAATCGTAGTGGATCAGCTATAGTGTGTAATGTTCTGACTGAAGTGATGTAGAATAATTCATGTGTTTATGCAGTTAAGCAGAGATGTCTGATACGGGAGAAAACTGACATTGTGATGTTTAGTTTATCCACACAATAGATTGCGATAAGAAAAAGCACAGGGATTTTTACTAGATGACTTTAATAGCTCTATTAGAAAATCAGTAATTATTCTAGAATGATCAGAGTAATTTAGTTGGACAGTGCGTCTGCATTAAAAAAACAAATTTGTTTTTAAAAAAGCAGTTTAGAATCTTTGTCATTGGGTGTAACACAGAGAAAGACATCCAAAATACTCTTTTGTTTAGGATGATGTTCAGAGCTTTGTGGTGCTGATTTAATGCATAAGTTGTGTTGCCTCGTGAGGTGACAACACTGCAGAGTACCTGTTTTTCATCAGCATCATCCTTTCCATAGCCATAATCTTTCTATACATCGATGCTGCATCACTTTTTGCAACCAAATCTTCCTTTCCAGTTTTTCTCACCTGCTTCTCGCTCGTTTTGCTGCTAACGTTTGGAGCCTGCATGGCAACAAATTCTGTGTCTTTCTAAAAAAGAAATGTAAGAAAAAAACTCAAGTGTATCCAAGAACCCTTAAATCGGAGTAAATAAAGTTCTATCAGACAGACGTCTCTTGGAGATTAGTCGTGGAAAATGAGAACTGTGAAAGTTCTCTTTTTGTATGAAGCAGCAAAAAAAAATAAAAAATTGTTGCACGGTGTGTTTGAGTTAATTTGCCGTACTTCACATTGTAATTCTGATGCTGAAATGATGCATCTTGCCCCTGTTTCCAGTGTATAAGCTCTGCTGAGCATATTACAGACTGACTCCAGCTCGGTACTGAACACACAGATATGAGACGGATAAAAAGAGGTTTAGTGTGAAGGCTGTAACTCCACATTCCCCATTTGGTTTGTACTTATTACTTAGATAGCTGCAAGGAAAATGCTAAATATTCGACAAAGAAGACTACAGCGGTGCTTTGACAGACAACAAAATGATCACCTGAAAATAGTCGACTAATTACCCAGCTTGTGTGTATGCATACCTGCACTAGACAACACTACAAAAGGAGTTCAATGTGAGCTAACGAAAGAGAAAAAACATGTATTCTTTTGCTTCAGGCCTGTAACCATTAGCTGGTATTGATTTAGTGAAAAATGTGTGTGTTAGTTTGATTATCCTAAGTGCTTCAAGGTAACTGGATTTCTTTCTAGTTCTTGAAGACATTTCATTAAAGAGACTTCCTCAGTTCTAACTGACTGCGAGGGAGTTCCTGGTATTTAATTAGGGTCACCTGTACATTGTTATTGACACAACTCAAGATGTAAACAGTGGTAAAACTGACTGGGGACGGGTTTCAGGACTGCATTATAAGTATCTGGTATGTGATGTTGTAGACCACTTTCTCGGAGGTGGCCTAAAACCTCAGGGTAGGTGTCCTTGGTTGTTCCAGTTTAGCATAAACTGCTTCCTTTCCTACTCTCTCAAACCACCTTCTCTGACCAGAATGTGGACGTTACTGTCTTCATTCTGACAAGGTGTTGTTTAGTCTTCCTTACATATAGGTTTGTGCACTCCTCGCTGCATTGGACCCCATATTTAAATCTGCTTAGCTTGTGTTTTGTTGGGTAAACCAGTTTTTGTCTCGGATTTATGCTGGGTCTGATTTAGGATTTTGTGTTTGGAGAAAACACGTTCCTAACGTCTATGTGCTCCTTGTTTTTTTGTTTGTTTGTTTGTTTTTTTTACCTTAGTCTTGGTAGGTACATTGTCAACCCGGCACTATCAGGTTGTGGTAACCCCTAGCTTATGTTCCAAAGGGTGGTGGAAGTCCAACAGCTGGTACTGGCCGGTGTGTGTTGGTTTCCTGTAAACCTCAACGTTGACACTTCCATCCTCCTCAATGTCCACAGCACCTTCCCAAAAAAAAAAAAAGTCAGTTTGTTTCCCCCAGTCCCCTTATTGTCAACGTGATATTTTTGTCCACCAAGTGGATAAAAGTTGTTCTGTGAGGGCATCTACTTCTTTGGTTTGGATTCTGGTGTCGTAAAAAAATATCTGAACAAATGTTGTTTCCATGAATGAGCAGAGTGCTCTGCTTTCCACTTCCTCCATGTAGCGGTTGGCCACAACAGGTGACACAGCAGAACCCATGGCACAGCCGTGCTACTGTCTGTGCAAACCCTCATTGTACCCGACATGGATGGTCGTCAAGTGGAGGTCCAACAGGGCACCGAATCGACTGGGGGTGAAATTGGTTGTGTTCTTTACCTATCTTGCAGTGGTGATTTTCTCACTGTCTCAAATGCAAGTATACAGGTGACAAGTGTGGTAACATTGAATGATGTCATCTGCGGCCAGTTTAAGTTTGTGGACTTTGCAGGCAAACTCAGAAGAGTTTTGGATGTGAGGTATTTTCAACCAGAGGTGGTGAGCTGTTCTGCCATGTAGGTGTTCCGTCTTAGTGGATCTTCAGAAGTCCATACAAACATAGCTGAGTTTTCCAAGGTGAACAGTGGGAACTTGGTGGTGCTGGGCCTTGAACCCCTAACTTTTTCATCAGCAGCCCAAAGCTGAGCCACCCCTACCTTACCCTTAGTGATGTTACTACCTCCCTTTACTGACTGGGTTTTGAGGATGGAAGAAGGTATTTTTGGGCTAGAAAGTACCACTGAAACCCTAATCCTGAGTTGTTTCACCGCTAACTCTGTCCAGTACTGGTAACTGCTGTGAAGATATAACAAATGTTAAGAACATAGCTAAAAGATCTGTGTCCACTTGGGTAAGGCCCCTGTCTGATGAATTTTTCACCCACCAACCCTGAATGTCTACTCGTGCTTAGTCAATTTGTTTCTCTCTGGTTGGTTCGGTTTGTCCCCTGGAGTTATTTGCTTATGCCTTGGCTTCACTGTCAAAGGCCAGAGAGCAGAACAGATACTATTGATAGCACAGTCATGGAGGGAGTTTCTAAGTTTGTTGAAAAGGCACAGTTATCACTACACGAAAAGGGCAAGGACTGGTAAACAAGGAAATTCCACACACTACACTCAAGCGCAAAAACTCATGACAACTTCTGGACCAACCAGACAGAAACAAGTTGGAGCTACACTAGAATACATTCAGGATAAGTGGGTGAAAAACCTACCAATAACAGACCTTGCCCAACCAAAGAAGAATGTTTTAGATTAAAAAAAGAAAAAAACACAACTGCCTTTACTCCAAAACTGTTACCAGTATTGAACCTCACTAAAGTGACAGAATCAGCCGTGAGGAACAACCACCTAGTAGAATCAGAAGCAGAAAAACTAGAAATAATGGTTTTAGCTGCTTTCTCTAGTGCCAAAATACCTCCTTCTAAACCCAAAAACACTAAAAGAAAAACTCTATGATATCACCTACAAAGCCCTGAGATATCCCTGTCATCCACATTTTAAGTTGTTTTGGGTTGTGGGTTACAATAAATACCTGAAACACGCCACCAGACAGTTCAAACTGAGGAACATTTTGGATAAGAGGTGAAACTTATTCAAGTCCGGTTGTCTTCAAGGACTCAGCATGACCTCGACGTGGATGATTGACAATCTACACATATGAATTATCTGATAACTGAGTGACTTAACCTTATTTGTTTGCTTTTTGAAGTGAGACTATGTGAGGTACTTGCCCATACTCGGTGTATGGTGGTTGTTTGCAGAGACTAGTACTGAAACTATGCAGGTTACTTCTGTGGACAGGTTCGGAGTCACAACGTATTTCAGCCACCTAAAAAAAAAATCAACATCGATTTATGTGTACAGTATATTTAGAACATTTTCAACACTTAACCGTACTGCCAGACAGCAGACACCAGACTGCTTTGACAGAAACAGTAACATGGGAGTTGCTGGTCTGTTCTTGTAAGATTTTGATGTTTCAACATGTTAGTTTAAATTCAGACTAACATGCTGAAACACCAAATTCACACAATAGAACAAACTAATTGATCAAGGCAGCGGTAGACCAGCAGCGCCTATGTTCTGATGACGTTTTTGTCAATGGAGTCTACTGGCTTTGAAGTGCATACTTTTAATCAAGCTTTGAGACTAAGTTGTTTAAAATGTTGCCAATTTCACAAATGTCTAAAGCCATGGGTCTAACCTCTGTTTAGTCTCTGTCTCAGGCGGATGGAGAGCTCTCCGGCCTGCCCACACCCGACTCCACCCCGGAGCTCCCCATCAAGAACATGAAGGCCCTGCGGCACCATCAGTACGAGAAGAACCAGAACTGCAACAACGCCAAGGACAACAACCCCAAGTCAGGGCCGAGCTGCTCTGGATCCAGTCTGGGTTTCATGGCTGTCGTTGGGAACTCTTTGACCCAGCAGGTGTATCCCTTCTCCCATCACCATGGCAACAGTTTGAGCAACGGCTCGGCCCACGGAGCTGGAGCCTCCTCGACTTCCCTGCACCTTCCCGAGGAAAGGAAGATCTCAAATGATGAGCGAGCAGCAGCAGCAGCAGCAGCATCAGGAGGCGGAGTTGGAGTTGGAGGTGGAAGTGGAGGAGTCCCACATCACCACCACTCCCAGCAGTCACTCCCCCAGACGGTGGTGGATGTGTCAGCGCTGGACGAGCTGCTCAAACACATCCACGAGGTCAGCGCGTCGGGAACCGGAGGCATCAAGGTCCTTACCTCCACCTCCTCGTCTTCCCTGTTCCCTGGGCCATCCTCCTCTGCCTCCGCCTCTGGAGGGCACAACCATAATCATCATCACCACCATCATCACAGTCACCACAGCCAGACCCGCACACACCACTACAACCACAGCCATCACCATAGCAACCACCACAATAATAACAGCAGCAGCAGCAGTCACCATCACCAGCAGCAGATCCCTGAGACAGAGTCGGCACCATACTACAGCACCTCCACCCTGCCAAGAGATGGCCTCCCCAAGCGCCTGGACGCACCTCCTCAAAACTCCACCTCATCCTCTGCCACCTCCTCGTCTTCATCGTCCTCGTCCTCCAACAACCCCACGTCCTCCACCTCCATCCCTTCTTCCTCCTCTTCCTCCTCCTCCACTCCACTCCAGCAGCAGGTGATTCCAGAAAGACCTGGAGGAGGAGGAGGAGGAGGAGGAGGCACTGGCGGCGGCGGTGGCGGTGTATCTGTGACTCGCCACCACTCTCAGCGCCACTCCCTCATTAAGATGGGCAGCGGGGGCGGCGCCGTGCCCCGCCATCACAGCTTCAACCAACGAGGGACACACGCGCACTTTCTAGCCAGGATGAACACCAACAGCAGCTGCAACGGCCCCCCAGGTGCTGGTGCGGCAACCAACGCAAACATCAGCACCAGTGGCGAGAGCCAGCGGGCGTCCATCGCCAGCGCCTGCCTCACGCGGCAGCACAGTTACAGCGGAGGGCCACACGTGCAACGGGCGGCAATCGTCCGGAGAACAGCGTCGCTCAAACCCCAAGTCCCACCAAAACCGCTTTTCCTGCCAAATACAGCAACGTCGCCGGTAGCAGAGGCAGGAAAGTACCACTACTGAGACTGTAGGGAGGAAGTGGCGCCACTCCAACATGGCTGCTGCAGTCCTCATCGAGCAAAGCACTTCGAAACGCCTGCTGGGCCTGTGAGAAACGACAAAATGAGAACACTGATGGGCCAGAAACACACAAAAGACACTTGTCCCCATCACTCCTCATTACGACCCGTCAGTTGTGGTTATTTTCCTGCTGCTGAGAGGACGCCGTCTGTCGCCTCTTCTGAGTCACGAACGCCGCCTCACTGACAGACACTCTGAGGATCGCCAAATAAACAACATCTCTGACTCATTTCTTCGGAGGTCGAGGCTAACAACAAACTACGGATCAAAACCAGCTCTGACGAGAAACATTCCAAAAGCAGGCCGAAAGATGTTAAAGATTCAAAAGGAGTCCCCAAGGCTCGAGATGGCCTGAAAATTCTGGATTAATGCAGTTTTCTTATGAGCGCTTTGATCTAATGTCCCCGGTTGTTGCACCTTGGCACGGGGCCCGGATTTCATTTGCAAAGATTTAAAAAGCAGGGAATTGGACTGCTGCAGACCTGACATGAACTGAATCTGGGAGCGCTGCATTGCTGCGAGTCCGACGATGGTATTTTCTTTTCACAGGAGATATCACACTGAAATCATATTTAAAAAAAACCCAGTGGATAATTCCTACCTTTGCTTTGTTTGTTTCTGAGTCTGCTCTGGAAAATTGAAATCGACAGGAAAGCTTCACTCTCCTTTTCTGCGGAGGAAAAAAAAAAAGAAAAGAAAAAACGAAACGAGTTGAAAAGAGGAGACGAAACTGCAGCTTTTGTTTTCATGCGCTCGAAGAGATGGAGATTTTTGCAGACCAACACTTCAGCTACACTCTGAGGAAAGAGACATTAATGCTGCCTGAGCTGTGGGATCACATATAAGTGTCAAAACCCGGCAGCCGATACCCTAACAGTACACAAACACCAGATGAATGCTCCTTTTTTTATACCATATTGGTATCTAAACAACAAAAAGCAGCCCAGCAGGTGATCGAGGAGGATTTCTGATAAATGCTTCCCTTAAATTACTAATTCATGCTCAATACACTTAATGCTCCCTCAGTTTAATAATTTGTAATTACTTAATTGATTCTCTTGAATTAATAATTGCCCTCAAATTATTTCATTTGCCTCCTGCATATGTCTTTACCCGAGAACATCTGCGAGATCTATAACGTGTTCAACGTGGTGTCAAATCAAACTGTATTAAATGCTCTGCTGTTTGTCAGAAATGTTTTCTCATCACCGCCTGAGCGCCGCAGTTTTTGACAGGATGAAATGTATCGCAGTTTGGTTCACCCAAATTACAGCAAGACAAGTTTTCTCACTTACGTTGCTGTGCAGCGGTTTTCAAAGTGGGTGTTGAGAGACGGATTAAGGGCAGCGCAGGGGTCGCTCGGGTCTGTTGTTTCATTAATTGCAGTTTTATCTTCAGACATGTGAGAAAGAAAAAAACATGCATCAAAGGTGTTGTAGTAGCAAGACTAAGGTCAGTGTTAAGCCTTGATTATACTCCCTTGTGGACATGCACACGGACGGGAGGTTGTTGTTGTACTATTTTGTAGTCTGTTTGGATCAGTCTGTTCCGTACATGCACCATAGATCGGCATCTACGTATTGTAAGCATGCAATTACTGCTTACGGTGCTTAACCCCGCAGAGACTCTCATGGATTTGGGAAGATCATTAAATTTGCATTACGTGGATGCAGAAAGTATTGCACTTTCTGTATGAGTCGTGTCCACAGGGAAATTTTGGACACAAGGGGTAGCACCGCTTCCCGGCGTTGGACGCTTGACGGGCGTACGACTAAGCAGAGTCACACACTCTAACAGCAAACACTTCACTGATAATGTGATTCTAAAAACATCTTGAGGAATTAGCTGTGCAGCTGCTGAATCTGTCTTTCATTTTACGTCAACAGTTAGTTTAGGAGCTCTTCAAGGGTCTCCAGAGGTGGAGAGTTGAAGCTGGATGCCCCTGGATATTTGCATAAGGTAGCAGATAGATCCTAAATTTCTGCATGAAGGACACTCAACTTTACGCCCTGTGTCTCAAAATGCAATGTGTTGCTACCAGAATGCTGCTTCTTACTTAGACAATGACTGGAAAATGTGTAAATGAAGGAGCTTGTTGACGCGTACTGCTATGCTAACCGAACCTGTGCATACAGGACGGTCCGCATGATATAAATTTCCTTTGTCTTCCCAAGTCTGCGAGAGTCTGTGAAGCCTAAACTTTGCATCTTGTGGCTAGCTATAACTTTTAAAGATTATATCGCAAATCCAATCGCAGTGCCATTCTGAATTGGGTACCGTGGGTATGAGTGTGAGTGTGCCCCTCGCAACCCTCTAGTGGATAAAGCAGGTATTGCTAATGGGTTGATTTATTTTACCCAAACTGTTTAGCCACATTATCGGCTAATGGACACATAAAACTTTGACCTGATGACGGTGCTACAGGAAAGGTTGGGGGGAACACTAGGGTATTACAGTTTATCTTTACAGAGACATAAAAATTATATGTTCATTAATCCAACAGCAGTTGAGAAACTGACCTGGATGACAACCTGCATACATCCGAACATCAGTCTTATTCGTTCAAAATAATTCTGGTGACATGTCTCTGAAGCGTCACCACACTGAAACATGTTGCTGAACTCACTGTGGGTTTAAACCAGTTTGGGAACCGCTGCTCTCGTGGTGTCCAGCTGTGCAGATCGAGCGGGTTTGAGATTTGTGTGTCAGATTCAGTGCAAGTGGATGCTACTCTGGGTAATCCACAAAACACACGGGACACAGTTTTTAGACAGAGTATTTCTTCAGTAGTAGTAGTAGTTTTTATACGAGGTCAGTGTCACTGTGAGTAAGTAAACCCAAACTCTCTGCGTAGCCGGACAGCACAAGGGGAGAGTGAGAATAAATGTGATTATTTTGGTGGTAATTTGGGTGAACGTGTGCCTGTCGAGTCGTTTTACTTCATTCACTTTGACAGAGTTGCCAGCGCGACCACAGTCTGCTGCCGACTACAGTCTGTGGGAGTGTTTCTTCGCAGATGCTCTAAAAATACCCGACTGAGAAGAGAATCTGCTGTTTCCTGGTTTACTTTTACCTCCCGGTGTTTTAAGAACTCTTTCTATTCTGTGGCTGTTTGTTCTGCGTGTGCTCTCGGCCTGCAGCGGTCGAAGGTTAACACGACGACACGCAGGCAACACCTTTAGGCAACGGAGACGAGCGATACTGCCAGCAGCAGCAATAAAAGTTGGCGACGGGATTGGAACGAAAAACCTGTAAATCAAAGGAAAAGCTGCGTGAAGCTGAAGTACAGATGGTGGATCCAAAGAGCTGCGAGTTGGCTCTCTGTGTTGCCTCAACATGTTGCTGTGCAGGTTTGGTGAAGTTTGAAAAATGAATGTGATTATTTTAAGATGCGGGAAAAGATTAAAGAAACAATACCGATCCTGATGCCTAAACAACACAGTGACTTCTGAAGAACTGGCTGCTCTGCATGTTTTAACCTGTTGGCTGCATAAGTGACGCTATACTTCTGGTCAAAAGACACAATTTTGGTTTGAATCTGGGCTCTGAATTTTGCAATAAACAACAGAAACTATGAGAAATCATCTGAGCTGCATTGCATTAAAGGTAAAAACTGTGGGACGACTTAAAGCTACAAAAAGCTGCAGCGATTAGAGAAAGACAATGTGCTCACTTGTACTTTTCTTCTGCAAACCGCGTGGTGCATTTAGGGGCGCTCGGAAATAGGAGAAGTCTGCTAAAACAAACAAAAAGAAGAATTAATGAGACATGAATGAGCCAAAACCCCAACAATAAGCAAACACAGACATCCTTTAAATGCACTCATAATAACATTTAGGATTTAGAAGCTTGGGGATGATTGAGGATTTCTGAAAACGTCATCTCACTTAGTAGTAATTACAGTTTTAGACCTGGAGCTGCAAAATAAAGAAGATCGAGTGTTCTTAACAGATGTTTGTGCGCGTTGTAACGGAGCTGCATGAGGCGTGGAATGAATTATGCATGTTTATGGAGTCGTTACAACATGTACAAAAAGCTTATTTCCATTCAAAAAATAACAGTCGACATCTGTTTTAGGCCTAAAAAACTGTTGGTTTTTTTGAGCGTGTGTTTTTGTATTTTGCAAAAAGAAAAAGAAAAAAACGTCAATTAAACTCATTAATCGTCGCCTACGCCTGTGTTGTGAGAACCTGATTTCCGAGATGGATTTTTAACATCCTGCTAAGACAACAACAAACTAAAGTAATTTATCACACAATTGAACAAACAGTAACTTACTGTTCACTGTGATTAAGGCGACTTGGATCAACTTAAACCAGGACTTAAAGTGAGAAAATCATTCTGAAAAAACTGAAGCACAGAATAATCTGACTGGATGAAAGAAAAAAAAAAAATCTTAACTCAAGGGCCACTTACTATGTTCCAGAGCTTTCTACCTCATGTTTGCTTATAGTTATGTGCTATATAAGGTTGTGAACTTCTGTAATCATAATCAAAAGCCTCCCATCTCTATGATCACTCAGCTGGGGAAGACTGGGAGGTTTAGTCTGAAAGCCCTCGAAAACGCCAGGAAGCAGACCTTGAGTTAACGTGACTAAATCTTCACGTTAAAGGACGATTTTTTTTGCCTATTTGGCGCAAATCAGCAGCAGGAAAATCTGATTTCTTAGACATCTAAGTTTAAAAAAAAGGAAGATTAGCTCGACAAACTTTTTTTCACTTTGAAGAGTCTGTTTGGTTCCCGGCCGCCGGTGAAGCAGATAAACATCCAGCAGCCGGTTTTTGGTTTTATCTGACTCGCTCAGCCGGCCGGACACACACTCCTGGAGCAGATTAAGCAATAACGAAGCGGCGGTGATGCTGCGGGAGAGTGTTGGTGAAGTCGGCTCTCTGCACCAAATGATGCAACTTTGAGGCCGTCAGCCGTCGAGGGCGGAGGTGCTGAAATCTGGGATGCAAAGCGGCCGCTGTAAAAGTCACGGTTCATCAGGCGCTTTCAAAGTGGACTCGATCGTTTTGTTCAGGTTTAATAAAAGAGGACAAAGCAGCAGTTTATTGATTCCTAGTTACTGTAAAGAAGAGATTCATGTCACGGCCTCAGTTTGAGGAGGTTACATCATCCTCTTTCATCTCCGACCCGAATCTCTCGTCTGACTGGAACTGCCGTTTGATGTAGTGTTGTTCTGGTTGCTGGAAGGCGGCTGCCTGCAGGAATCAAAGTCTAAATTAACGGGTCGTGTTCCCTAAATCTGCGCTACAACTCTCAGCGGCTGATTTGGGAGTTTACACGGCAGAACAAACAACATTTTAAAAAAGGGTAGATCATAATGAGAGGGCTGGTTCGGTGCCACAAAAGAGGTTATAAGTTTGCTCTGCGAGTTTTGAATCACTTACACCGTTTAATGCAGATTGCAAAACTGCTGCCGAGCAATTTTTTTCGAGGCAAAGTACTTTATAGATTCTCTTCTTCGTGCAGTGATGCAAAACATTTACATAAAACATATTTCTGTGGGAAGCAGTGACCGATTTGTCCTTTTCGGTGCATTCAAGGACCATCCGAAACCCCAGAAGTCTTCGTAAAATACTGACAATTTAAATCACTAACACAGACAATTAAACGTGGATGTCGGAAAAAACAATCATTGTTTGTTGAAAATAATAAAGGTTTTGTTCTGGCAGTTGAAGCGGAAGTCTCTGATGTCAGACTGCCCTTGAACGCTCTGAACACAGAGAGCTTTCAGTCTTTGATGATTAAAACTATAAATACAAAAGTGCTCATTGTCTGCACATTGATTATCCATAAAGTCAAACCAACCAACAAAAGAAAAAGCCTCCCTTGTGGATGTGCGATGAAGATGAAAGCTCATAAAGGAGTGAAACATTTAATTTAGATAAAAATGCCAAACTTTAACTGCTTCTAGCTTCTCAGAATAAGGATTTGCTGCTGCTCTCTTCTTATTGTCAATGGAAACTGAATTTTCCACAACTAATCCTGTGATGGAAGACAAAATCACCAGATTGATGGACAATAAAAACAGCTGGTTTCAGTATTTCTTTGGTACCAACTGAAATGTCTCCTAAAATTGTCAAAAAAAAACAAAAACTGGGATTGATTGTTGCATAAGATGTGTCATTTTGATGCATTTGTCTTTATGTATTTTCAGATTTACATAAAAAAAAAAAAATAGCCCTTGTTTGCTTTGAAATTCTTGTTAGATATCTCAAATCTGCACAGCAATTCACAAACAGTAAAGTCTGGAACTATAAACTTTTAAGTTCCCAACCCTAGGAATCAGTCAGACGTGTATGTCTTGTATGTAAAGAACAGCCAACAGTACCTGAATGCTTCTTTAAATCGTCCCACAGAGCCTCTCGATGTTATTGTCACTTTTGCACTGAACAGGCCACACATGCAGACAGACAGTCTGGTTTCCAAGAAGCTACAATAAAAGTGAGCAGGAATATAATGGTCTGGCATTACACCTACAGAGCAGACGTCATCATTTCTAAATGCTTTTACTTTGAAATCCAACTGTGACCTGCTCCAAAATCTGATTGGAGAAAGAAAACTAAGTGATCTGCATTCGTAGAGACACAAAAAGACAAACCAAGGAACAAGACTCTTCGTCTGTCTGAAGGCTGCTGAAGCTTAATTAAAAGGAGAAGCTGATGTTCACTTGTGTTCCGACTGATTAGGAATGTTTTCACTGGGTGCTACTACGGGGACGCTGGCTCATTTTATAAAAGGGTTTTTGTATGAGGATGCACTTGTAACCTTGAAAATAAATTTGTTTATTCATTTCGTGGTTCTCGTCCTCTAAACGTGCTCTCTGTGATTCAGCTGGAGAGGCGGAGGGGGAACAGAGACGCTGTGACGCGACTGAACATGGACTCACAGCGCCACCCAGTGGGCCACACCAGAATGACAATGTAATAATGTCAAACACTATTATGTTTACCTTACTGCTATTAATTAACAATGTGGATGATGGTGTAAATAAAGGCTACTGTGGAATATTAATGGGAGTTGAGTGATTCTTATTTCTGCAGGTTCTTATAATGAAGCTATGAGTGGAAAGCAAGAAACAGAGCTGCAACAAACAGTTATAAATAAAGTTATACTCACTCAAACTCACTGTCCTAAAAAGGCGTCGAAAGTTCTTGAAGGTTGAGATGTACCATGGTCTTCCAGGAAATGTTGAGACTTTGTGGCGGTCCACAGGGATCCTAAAGGCCTTGAGGAAGTTATTGGATGCCCTGAATGTGTTGCAGGAGAGGAATGTGTTTAGAAAGACTGGAATCTCTAAAAGCACTCATGGCACAAATTTCTCCTGGAGTTGGGGGATCAATGCAGGTCTTGTAGGAGTTTAACAGGGACACAGAGGTTCTTGAGCAAGTTTTCAGGAGTCTTTCAATTATGGGACTCCTACAATGGGTGTAGGGGGCCTTTGGGGTGTTAAAGAGGGTCCTTAAGGAGAACCCCAGTCGGCTTTTCAGAAAGTTAAGAACTCCTTGACTAAGTATTTCATTAGCCTTTAAAAGGGTTCATGAGTTTGTGAAGCTTCTCTGAGAGTTACTGGTCTTTCAATTGTGCTTTACGGACGTTCAGGAGACCAGTAGTCCTTGACGGACATCTAAATATGCTTGGAGTAGTTCTAGCAAACCCTTACTGTGCTTCAACTCTCCTACTACCTTCAGAAATCCTGGAATCTCCCAAAGTACTCAGGATATAGCTCCAGAAAGCAGCTCCAGAAGTCTGATCTGAATGTTCTGAAGGTGCACAAATAATGTAATTATGTAGTTTGGGGTGGTCTTTTTTTTTTAAAAAACATTTTTAAGGAGAACCTATAAACCCATTGTGGGTGTTTTAGAGGAGGTTCATGAGTTCTTGAAGGGGTTCTGGAGGGTTACCAGTGTCCCAGTGGTGTGGAATTTCTGGGGAACAGTAGTTCTTAATGGGCAGGAAGAGGTTCCAAAAGTCTGGTCTGGGTGTTACAGATGGAAACATGTTCCTATGGTGGTTGGAGAATTCATTAAGATCTTGAAGGAGTTTAAGTGGCATCCAGAGATCCAAGAGTTGGATCTTTATGGGGGATTTAAGAAGTTCATTGTGAGAATTTCCAAAGGTCCTTAAAGGCAATGCCCAAAGTGTCTACATTTTTGAATGGGTTACAAAATTACCCATGGGGGTTCAAGAAGTCCTTGTCTGGAGGATTCCTGGGGTCATTGTCGATGATTCAAGGCATCAAAGGCATTTCAAGAAGCCAGTTGATTCTGTCTGACATGGTTGGAGAAGTGATTTGTTTCAAGAGTCCTGAAAGAAGCTCACGGAGCTCTCTTCAAAAGACTTCTGTAGCCCATTCCAAGAATACCTTGGGGTAGTCCGGAGATCCTCTGGGACTTTCAAAATAAGAAGCCATTGCAGGAGTTCCTGAATGTTGGGTGGGTTCTGACATGTCTGTTCCAGAAGTTTTTGGGTTCATGGATCAAGACTGTCCCAGGAATGTGCGATTGAATCTCCTAAGAATTGTTGTTTCTGCTGCAGATCCAGAGGCCATCTACAGAGTTCCTAACTCATCCAGATTGGACAAAGAGAGTATTTTCCATCATAACCAGCTGGTTACAGAAGCAGCATATTTTATATTCTGCTGGCATCCTCAGCAGATTAGTATAAAATCCCGGTGGTTGATGGAAATTTTTCTTTTCATTCCAATTTTTTAGTTTGTCAAATTAATTAAAGGACGTGAATTAGTTTTTCCCTCCAGAGACAAAAATGCAGAGACATATTACTTTTCTGCTGAAATACTACAGTATTATTCAGAGTTGTTTTGAAGGGATAAAGGTTTGAGATTCACCTGACACGTAGTCCAGCCCTTGGAACAGCAGACTGTGTCCACCGAGTGTTCTGGGTCCTCACAGGCTCAAGGGTCCTCAATGCAATTTCAGTGGTCCTTAAGGAGGTTTTTAAAGTCAATACGGTGATCCCTAAGAGGTCATGAAGACACCAAGTGAATAGTTTCAGGGGACCACATGTCCATGAGATGAGGCACTCATGGGTTTTAGAAGGCGTCACAAGTCCTTTGCTGAAGACGAATTATGGACACCAAGAAGATGTTCTACAATCCACTGATGTGCACCAAAGAGTTCGTGTAAAGGGTCCCTGAAGGTGCTCCAGAGGTTCTCGAACAGGATTAATGGGTGAAGGGTTGGGATTACCAAGAGTCTTCTAGAGGAGTCTTAAGGTAATGTTAGTGCATTGTAAAGGGACGGACAAGCTGACAAGACAGCTTGAATATGAATAGTAAGACACTGTGACTGATGCAAACAAGAAATAGTCAAAAATTAATAATAAAATCAATAATCAGGTTATTTGAAAAACATTAAACACAATCGATGAGAGGCAACGGCACATTTCAAACATGAATCAAGCCGAGACCAACTACTAGCTTGGCCGGTTACCAGATACGACATTAAGCATTTTTATGATAACCAGCATTGCTATCATTTGAACCACTTACAGATAAAATAAAGGAATTTTAAAGCGAGCTACTTCAGATGGGATTCAGCCTGGTGTTATTCTGATTTTTGATACGAAGATTAGAAGTTTTAGAGCAAAGAGTTACTGGTTTCTCTGGTTTCTCAACCCAGTTGATTGACCCTTTTGTGAATGACCCATTTACTTTAAAAAAATATTTTGTGAAAGTAAATGAGGAGCTGAAGCCATTAAGTCTAGCCAACAAGGATGAGAAGGTTTACAGCTTATGAACAAACACTTTGAGTACCTCTCACACCCTCAGGCCAACTCTCCCAAAAGCTCAGAGTATAAAATTCAAACCAAACTGCTGCCTGAGAGCTTGGAACTAAAATTTCAGTTTCATCCCTTCAAAAGGGGTCCTTGAGGAACTTCCAGGTTCAAAGCAAAACCAATTTCAGTGTCAATTCTTTGCTTGTTTTTCTGCAGAGCTGCTGCTCGTGAGTTTGGGTTTTTATTTCTGCTCTACAAATGGAACGTGCAGCCTTTTTATAAAATCTGATTTACTGAGTAATCAGATAAATTATCCTCCTTCTCGCCGCTTTATAATCATGAAGCTGTTTTAAATTAAGTATTTCGCTGCCATCTGCTGGTGGAGAATAAGCAGGTCAAGCCCTCACCTGCACTGATTGAGACATCGCGTCTTTGTTTTCATTGTTTTTTTTCCATTTTTTAATTCGTAATTAGGGTCCGAGCACTAACGGTGCAAGGA